CTGAGAGGCTGGCTGATAGAGGTCAGACCATAAGGGCCTTTCAGGTCACAGGATGGGAGTGTGGTCTCTCCAAAAGCAACCGAAGCATCAAACAGGAGACGAGAGCGGTCAGCGTCTGCTTAATGAATACTGATGGCGCTCCTACGGGGTGCCGAGCCAAACCTCAAGAAGGGCTGAGCTTTTCCGGGCGCTGCGAATGCAGCAGGAAGACAGCATCCGGGAGGTGGTCGGTCTTCTACCTGGCCTGCTTCGAGTGTTACAGAGACCTTCCTCCTTCCTGCTCATGCCAGCTCGGTACTGAGCCCGCACTGCAGCATGCCATAGCCGAGAGGACCCCTCTGGTTTTTACCGACTACGCCCGGGAAATGACTATCCATCCTCTTGAGGAAACTGGGCCCTTGTTGTGGCATATTTTCAAGCCCAGACCTCGCCAGGGTGGCCAGGGCCTCGCCCTCCAGGGGAGCCCCCACCCCAGAATGAGGCCCGTTACTCACAATCTTTTCATAGTACTCCCGCCGCCGCTCTGCCCTCTTCTTGTAGTCAACCATCATGCCTCGAAGCTTGCGCTCATGCTTCCGAGCCTCGTGCCACATCGTGGTGAGGCCGAGCGTGGGGCCTCAACCTGGGGGGATGAGAGGGGAGCGTCAGATGCGCTGTAAAAAACCGTAGGGGCAGAAGAACCAAAGTCGCCCAACGAGTTGGTGACAGAACCGATCCTAAACACCCGCTGCTGCAGGGAGGGGAAGGGAGGCTGCAGGACCGCGCGCCAGATGCTGAGGCGCATCCCTGGCAACTCTGAGCCAATACCCTGGGCGTTCTGGAAACCCCCCAGGCGATTCTGGAGTGAGCCTCCCCGGGGAAGGAGTGTCGTGAGTTCAGGGCGCTAGAATCAAGGATGAAAAGGTTTTGGAATGCTGGGAGCGAGCCTTTGATGTAAGGTCTGGAGGCAGAGCCCAAACAGCTGGGGCTGTAGCTCCAGGGAGGCAGAAGGGCGGAAATGGGGTTACCCGTGGCGGCGGGGCACGGTATGAATGCAGGTGAAGACAAGACAAGACTTCATGGGAACAGAGTAGTTGTAATGGGACTGGCGGGAGGGGG